TCTTATATATAATATTTCATGATCTTAAATATAATAATCAAAATTTCAGAGATATAGAAATCTATTTTGCATAATTTTCTCAGATATCAATCTGTATAGAGTTTATATCAGAAAAATTATTTATTATTAATATCTTATTTTGATATTATTTATATATTAATATAAATACTATATATTTATATAAATCAATGAAAAATAATATTATATCAGAAAATACGATAAAATTAATAAATTTGAATGTAATTCATGAATTATAGAAATAATTATAATTAAAGAAATAAGATCTCGGAGATTTGATAAGACATATCATAGATCAGATCTGCTATTCATATAATTATTTATTTAAAGTTTCCTTTCTATTTATCTCTATAATCAATATTCCATAATATTTAGGAATAATTCTCATATCAAAATATATTAAATCATCAAAAAATTCGATCATCTAGGGATGATATGTATTAATATGAATATATTATTATTGTTAAAATAATTCGGCATATATTCGCCTGGTGCTCTCTCAGACAGGGCAGCGCTTGCAAGAAGCCTTCAGGGCGGACATCTTGTTAGGGAGCCGCCTTGTGTCTATCCATATCAGGGCTTTTAAGCTAACATTCCGGGCTCTAGAACGCATACGGTTTGCGGTAAATTTTGTCTTAAGTTTCAGATCAACCTTGAATCCTGAAGGCGACAGGGACTCTAGAAGACTCGCAATAGTTCCACCGAGGGCGCCGTGGTACAGAGATGGTTCTCCGTATTTCCCTGTACTTCAGGGGGGCTTGAGGACTCGAACTTACCCATGCAGCTCTCGAAGCGCTCCTTTCTAGGTTCCCAAAATGGTACGGCACCCTATAAACCCTAAATCCTAACCCTGGTAGTAAAAAGGATACCAATTTAGAGAACTACCCAAGGCGATGCCATAATTACCGGGGAAGATCACGACCGCTTGCGACCTCACGCTCTTGGGAACAGCTGCAAACCTGCACGAGGGCTGATCATGAGCATGCTGAGCAAAGGATACAGGATAATGATGATAATAATAACACACACCAATATATGGACTCAGAATACCCTTCAGACGTCGTTTTTAACGGCAACCAGGCCAAAATTTCTACGTGACCGGAGAGGAGCATGCGAGTTGCTTTGCAAAGTCGCCATGCCACAAAGCTCTAGTTTGGAAACAAGCTGGCTGCTTGAGCAGGCGACCTGTATGCTAACATTGGAAGATGAGTCTGCTGTGTATCTCGAGCAGAACCTGCGACAACGTCCGACGGTCGGTATTTACAACCCATCATCGCTTCAGCAGCCACACATCACCATCACTCCACAGTATGGTCATCTGCGCATCTCGACGGATTCTGTCCAGGAGAATGTGACCCTTAAGTTCGTGCAGGATCGTGTCTTCGTTCAGACTCTCCAGCACACTTTCTGCTTCCGGCATGTTCCACTGGGCGTGCCAAATCATGCTGTTCTCGTACATCTCACCGACACAACGATTGTCCTCCACGCGGTACCAACTGCCTTGGAAAGCATCCCAGAATCCTTAGTTGCTGGGTTCATAAGCCCAGAAAAGTGTACACTTTCAGTTCTATAGTAGGTAATATTATCCCAAAAAGTGTAAAGAGTATCCACTCAGCTACTGAGAATCGGTCAGAAGCTGGTAAACTCATCGCTTCGCGGGCGGCAGACCGACGTCTAGCCTCGACTTGCCAAGATTCCCACGTGATCTTTATTGTGGTTTAGGGTTTAGGGTTTAGGGTTTAGGAGGGATCATTATGGTTTACCTTAAGAACCCAAAACTCACTTTTTTGTAGGCTCTTATTGTAAACCCTAATATGGGATTTATAGGGACCCTGCAAAAAAGTAGGTTTTGGGTTCTTCAGGTAGGGTTTAGGCACCATGGTTCCCTAAGAAGCTAAAGGACAGTGACGGTTATGTTCCTGCTGGTGATCTGGCAGTCAGAGTGATTCTGAGATATCTGGTGACGATGACTCGCGATGTGAACGTGTTGCCGAACATCATCTCTCAACTTTCCTGCCAGTGTTGCCTAGCAACTTACATGAGCCCAAACGATTCGTTTTGCTTGAAGCACTACTTCGGCTACTTGGTACGTATACAGCCAGTCCACTCTTGCAAATCAAACCACCTTTAAATGGCGGGCAGAACCTCTTTGCTGATGCTTCTTCTTGAGCTTGCAGCCTGTCTGCTAATTCGTGCTCATGCTGGTTTACGTTACCGAATGATGCCATTGCCAAAAGCAACTTGCTACTGCAGTCGGAGGTCCTCTTTGTCGCAGGCATCGGAAGCAACGATCAGCTCCTGCGCATCGCAGAACCAAAACGACATCACTCCAAACAGAATTCCCGGATGCTTTCACTCTTGCCTCTATTGCTCTCAATGGTGCTGCGGGAGTATGCTGTTGCCGCTTCTGTGCTTGCTGCTGCTGTCGTTCTGACAGATTTTCCTATTACCAGTGGGGTCCTAACCTACTATGTTGCAGGGTTTGGGGTCACAGGAAAACCTTGAATGAGTACTTTTGGGGGCTCCTTACTATAATTGCAGTATGACATAACCCCCCCCCCAAACCGGTAGGAGTGTTGTTGTTTTGGCTGTTGCTGCTTTTTTGCTGTTGCTGC